ATCATCAACTTAAATATTAGTAACGAAAAACAGGAGTTTAAAATAGGTTTACTGTGTGTGGGGGAGTACTTGGAGTTGGGGAAGGGTGAAGGAAGGAGATTAAGGTGATGCTATATGGTAGCCAGACTTCATATACCTATATGAAACAGAACTAAGAAACCTCTTGCTAGTGAAGAGGTCTGGTAGAGATGAACCAATTTGGGCTGTAATATACATATGCATGGAAGCAACACTAAGAAACTCTCTGTATAGCTATTTTTATCTCAAACTAGCAAAACATTATTTTTCTTATTATCTTTTATGTTTTCTCTCCAATAAAATCAGAGAACAAGAGGGTGGAATAGGTTCTGATTGGAAAAGGGGGTGGAGGGAAGGTGGCCCAAATAATGTATACACATGCAAATAAATGTAAAAACGATAAAATTTAAAAATAAGTAAATGAAACAAGTAAAGAAAGAAGCCTCTTGCAATTCTTTTAAGTGGGGTGGGGAGGAAGTTGAGGAGGAGAGATGATGGGGCCAATGTAAATAATGTACAATGTAAGTATAATTGGAATTGTCACTACAAATCCCCCCCAGCATAATGAATATATCCTAATAAAAAATTTATCCAAAAGAAAAAGAATATGCCACCAAGATAAAATGTGGCCCTAAAATATGGTAAAAATATTTGTACTGATACATAGCCATAATCCAATATTGCAGCCACTAGACACCATGGCCATGAGCACTTGAGATGTGCAGAGTCCACTTTATTCTCTGATATGTCTGCTTAGTACCTAACACAGAACACAGCACAATAATATTTAAGCAAGTGAATGACTACTATATATGTGCTAGGATAAAAGAAAAGACTTGCTTTTAAACTGCTATCCTCAGGCTTTGCGGGACACACAGCAGCAAAAGGTCTCAGGGTAAAGCAGCCCAATTCAGCTTGGAAGAGGCAGGAAGTTCTTCCTGGAAGTGCCATGCCTGAGCTGAGCTTTGTAGGATAAGTGAGAGCTCACTAAGTGACAAAGACTTAAAAAGATCCCTGCTCCCCAAGCAGAGGGAACATGTATGCAAGGACAGTGAGACGGTTATAAAGGAATGGGTCTTGAACAAGGTGAACAAATAGAAAAGCCTGGAGCCTAATGTAAACCCTAGGAGTAGGGTGGGCATGGCAGAAGGCTGGGGCTTGAAATGAATGGTCTACCACGCTACAGCATCCAGTTGACACTTGACTCTTCATGTTCATGCTACCTTGACCCGGTCACATTATGAGGTACAGGTAAAACATGACCAGCTTACTCTCTTTTGTCCATATTTATCAAACAAAGAGTATGTCAGAACACAATGCTAGTACTATTCTTTGGTATTACATGTGTTTACAATTACTTTGGGCGTGCCAGAAAAGACAGAGAAGAGAACAAATGGTGATTGTAACTGACCTTTTCCAAAACTCCCTCTGTCAACAGCCATGAAGAGTGACTCTATGAAGCACGTCACTAGTGGTGTCACCTTCTCTTTCTCAAGAGGCCTGTCCAAGGAGAGGGGAGAAAAAGGGAAAAGTTCAAACTGCCATTCAATGGCTTTTCCACAAAATGGCAAAGAATAGCTAGCACATTTTCATTCGGATGTTAAGTATTTCTTTCAAAATTAAACACAGCTACTTCTTACCTAATATGAGGTAACACTACAAGGGCTGCCCAAGAATGTGAAAGGTAAGTTGTATCTTTGTTTGGGGGTAACTGAATTATAGTTAAGAGATGATCCAATACTGAAAACTGTTCCCTTCTTCCCTCGGATCTCATCTTCCTCTGCCTTAAGTAGGATCTGAAGGATGAAAAGAGAAACACATTAAAAATAGCAGAGACTACAAGTGCTCTTGTTCTCTGAAGTTTGAAATGACACTGGCTCCTTTCCAATGTGCAGCTGAGGGATGTGGTGATGGAACATAAATAACTAAACAAGCTAGTCACTCACAGATCTTCAGTGAGAGACTCTCAGCTCCATGGGTTGTGCCTCCTTACTTCTATTTTAATTTGCTTCAGAACATAAATGAAGCCTCTTTTCTACTTTTAGGTTATTTCTCATTTTTGTGCTGCTGGGCATGTTGTAAGAAGAGAATAAGCAATTCACGGGAACAAACTGACTTTTTGACATGAAGACTGATGTTGCAAAATTACTGTGGCAAAGTTAACAAATACCACTAACACTATTATGATTTGAAAGCAATTTTCTCCTAATGCATTAACCTGATACCCATGACATTTTCTGACATGGCATTTGGTTTGGGTACTCTGTACCATTCTAACTAGCCTCTTTTCTTGCCTGTGTAATATGCCTCAGTCCCATCTGTAAGACAGGAATCTAATTAAAGAAAAGTCATAGAAACTATAAGTAAAATGCTTTATAATCTGTCCCCCATGTCCAGTTTGGTTAGCTTATAGGGCAACAGAAGCAAAATGGGGTTTTACTACTGTGTCCTTTTTGTTATTAAAGTTAATCAAAAGTCACATTCTCTTTTGTTTTATACTTATCAGGGTATTGAGTGTTTGAAAATTATGACAGTTAATTAAAATGTCAATTCCATCTATATCTTTTGGGTAGTAATGATAACTCAATAATCTGTAAAAAAAAAAATCTTACAAAATATTTAGATGCTTTAAGAACAAGTAATTAGTTGTCATATCATTCTATAGCATTATCAGACCTGCCAATGAGCTCCTCCAATAAAATCCATACTCCTTTCCTTGCCCCATAAGACCCTAAGTAATCTGACACTAACCTCCTCCTTGCTCAGTGCTCTTTACCCACAGATTTTCTATTCCTGAAATTTACTGAGCTTACTCCTGCCCCACAACCTTTGTGGTCACTCACTCTTCTGCATAGAAAGTCTTTCTCCCAGAACATTGCAAGGATCAATACTCCTCATCAATACGTGAGCCCAAAGGTTCACACTCCAGAAAGGAATAGTAAGTGCCCCTCATTTCTCTCTTCTTCTTAACACCCTGCTTCATTTTTTTTCCAGCACTGTTCAAAATCATCTTGCTTTACTTGCTTATTTGCTCATCATGTCCCTCTCCATAGGAATGTTATCTCACCAAAAGAAACCTTGTATTTACTGTGGTACCCCAGTGTCTAGAACAGTACCCGACAGTGTCTGTCAAATGACACTTATTTCTGAAGAGTATTTTCACATTAATTATCCCTTCTTATTCTCGTAACAAAATTGTAAGATAGGAGGATGGATTAGTACTAATATTCAAATCATTACTATTATTTTTGAGATGGGGTCCCACTATGTATCCTAGGCTGGCTTCACATTCACTCTATAGTCCAGCCACTCTCTCACTTCTTCCTCCCAAGTGCTGAGATAATAGGCATGCACATGCGTGGCTCAAACTATTATTACAAATCTTCAGAGAAGGAATCAGGACAAAGGTGACCATTCACACATACCCTATCTCTGGAGAGGTGGCAGAGGGATGTTTTCTCAGAGAAAGAGACATGGAAGTTGTGGTACTTGCCTTAGGTTAATACATTAAATTTATTTATTGATTTTACCACGCTACTTTCCCAGGAAGATTAGAGAGGGCTGAGGTGACAGTGTAAGGTGTGACATCCAGCTTCACAGAAGCCAACAAACAAAGTAACTTCACTGCCATGATACAGAACTCAGAGCTGTGGTCACTTATAAGGAAGGTGCTTGTTGAAGATTGGCTGGGGGTTGCAAAATCAAGATAAAAGGCCTAAGGGAATCATTCTACAGGAGTTAGTCATTGCCACGCCCCAGAAGTCAGAGCTCAGTCAATTACAACACCAACAATACCATGTTGACACATTTTGACAGAGAAGCTACTTTGAAGGTAGGAAGATGTAAGCAGGCGCTAAAGAGATGGGATCCCCATAAATGCAAGCTGATCAAACTCAAAACCCAACGTCTGTATGACAGTGAGCACAGGAACTCACACCTCTATGGATCTGTGAAGTTCAAAGCCGAGCACTCAGCATACACTCAAGGAACATTCATTTATTCCTACTGCCTCAGAACAAACCAAAACTGTAACAACAGGTCTAACTAATCCAATAGACAAAAAAACAAGAGTAAAAACAAAGGAATGAAAAGAGGATAATTTGGT